GCAATCCTCGAAACTGTGTTTCGATGATAGTATGCAAATCGAAACTATAATAATTTGTATTAATTGAAATCGATGTGCGCGTTCTGTTTAAGAAATATATATGCAGTGTTGTGGGCATCCATGCAATGTACAGTATTTGGCAGACAACAGTTTGATAATTCATCTTTGTTTAGTTCGCGATATTTTCACCACAGCACGTTGTAATATACAATAAATCTTATCTGAAATATATAGGGTTATGAAATTCTGACACACAGCTGTTTTGTGTTACGACGTTATCCTAGCTGTGACAAGCAGCTAATTCGAAGTTTATTTATCGTTTCAGAAGAAGTGCATCTCAGACAAAAGGCGCATTTTAGTTCTTGAATGAGAACCATTACAATTACACAAATACTATGCTATCTAAAATTAGAAGTCTCGAAGCGTCCTGCAGAGACCTGGACCCTGGATTTGAACAGAGACAGAAATGGGTGCACCAGGTAGTGGATCATACTGAACAGTTTATCACAGGATTGAAAGATGACCATTCACAGGCATATCGTACAAATGACAAAGAAGGAAAGGGTATCTTTGAGAGTCCGATCAATGACAATCCCACTCGCATGGGTAAGTGTTTCACATGCTATCGTTCCCACGCTTACATACACACCAACTATTCACTGGAAATGTATATATATATTGGAAGGTCCTCTGTTGAGCCACTATTTTGGTATTTGCTACTATTTTGTTACCCACGAAAATGTTAACCAATGTTCTCTTGCTTTTTGTTATTATTTTTCCAAACAAATCAATAAATCTCATAATTCTGGACAGTTTGGGAATAATTTGGAGTAATTTGTTATGTTTATTTAAATTATTTTTTTTGCTTGCACATCTTTTCCGGCCAAATTGTCATCTTTTAGACGCAGTCACAGTGACGCTAACTTAGGGGGTATTAAAATCAGCTGTCCTAGCAGCCATAGTTAAGCACGGATATAGTATAGCCGTCGCCGATTGAAATGGTATTAGTGCACCGAAACTGTTCGGCGAAGATGCTAGGTAAGTATTTGACGATTCAATACTGATATTGAAAATGTGTATTTACTAGCTAGCTATCGCACTATGACTTGTTGAGAGTGCCTGCTCAGACTGCTGCGGCGTCTCAAGTCGTCCATTTGATTCTATCACATCATAATGTTGTGTTCATCAATTTTGAATGTGCATCGATTTCTTAAAACAGTAATTTATAGACATGTATATAGTTCATCTGATTCAGAAAGTGGTAGTTTAAACTTCAAGTACATGTGTAACTTGAATTTAAATAATCTATATGCGGACGTTGGGCAGGCGGACAACAACAACAGAACCACCAAACGATAATTTAAAAAAAATAAATAAATAAAAGATCACATCTACCGGTATTCTATTTGCCGTTTTGTGTTTCCTCCCATTTGAGATGCATTTCTGTAAAATATTCCGTATATCAAATTAAAATTACAAAAGCGTTATGCTTCAAATTAGTAAACTAAAAATTATTTGCCCACTGCTTTCCAGAATTCGCTGGTATTGTCAAGTGGTAGCATCCATTCTGGAAAATCCATATTGTAGCAGCTATTTATTTTCCTGAAATTAAAATGTTTACAGTAGTTAATGAGGTCTTGATGTTAGTAATTTGTATCCATAACCTGAATGTTATTCTTACGAAGTCGTGTGTTATCATGCGACTTCGTGGACATTTCCGTATCAACCCCAGTTGCTTATAAGATTAAAACGTAAACTTGAGACACATGTTAGATCAAAAGAAATTTAAATACCTGGATAGCCAGTCTGTTTATTAGTATAGTAGTAGTAGTAGTAGCCAATGAATCATTTTAATTCACAAAACATTCTAAATTTTAGACCTTAGTTTTGAAATGCCTGTGTAAAAAAACAATTTTGTCATTATTGATTTATTATTTTCATCCTATTTTGATAACTCGCAATCTCACAACAAAAAAATGTTTCCCCCAACTGACAGTGACATTGGCACTAAAACTGATTGTACTTGTTGTACACAAAATAATGATAACCAGTTACCTGCATGGATAACAATATATTTTGATGATTATTTGATGATTATTTTTGTCATTTTTGGTGAAAAGTGATATTTTTGAATTCTTGTTGAAAACAGCAAGTCTATTGTTCATTTTCTAATGATATCTTCTGTTCTTTAATTGAAATGTGCATTGCTAACAGCGTAGCTATCTCAGCCGATTGGTTTGATGTTCTATTTCAAACTTTATTTTACTTGATAAATACATAAAATACATTAATCGCAGAGGACCTGACCTAACTCACTGCACTTCCTACCAATGGGACTTTTGTTTCCTATAACTGGGTTTTACATGTATTAATCCTGAGGCCCTGACCTGAATAATTGCACTGATGACCAATGGAACACAGGTTACCTCCAACTAGGACTAGGTAATATTAGTTCCAGAGGACCTGACTTGACTCAGTGCACTAACTACATTTTGTACCAATGGGTCATTTGTTATCTATAACAAGGACTAGGCATTATTAATCGCAGAGGACCTGATCTAACTCACTGCACTACCTACCAATGGGACTTTTGTTACCTATAACTAGGACTGGGCATTATTATACCCAGGGAACCTGACCTGACTTTTGTTACTTATAACTATTACTGGGTATTATTAATCCCTGAGGCTCTATTCTGACATTTGTTAATCATTTGAGAACCAGACCTGACTCACTGCACTAATGACCAATGAGTCATTTGTTACCTACAATTAATATTAATTCTCTGTCCCAACTCACTACACTAACTACTAGTGGAGGACTTGTTACTGATAACCCTCAGGCCCTGTACTGAGATAAACCAGCAGAACATACAAGCTTTGTTTTTTTTATAGATATTTTAACAATTTTTTTTTTTATTATTGTAGGAAACTTTGAAATCGACATTTGGTAGATTACTTACCACGTAACAAGTCTACAGAAGATAAACACAAAAAGACATTGGTAAAGGAACAATCGCACAATTTAACTCGTTTATATTTATGTACTCGTTAATTTCAATATATCATTATTTGTTGCACATTTTAGTCTCGCTTTATTCAATCGCATTTACACTTTACATTTTTGTATATACATTTGTTTATTAGTCATTTTCACAATTGTAATATATATCATTTTACTCGTTAATTATTATTCGATTTAATATTAGTTTAATTTCCCCTCACCTACGTGTTAGTTTTTAAACTGTAAATAATTGTTACTTTTAATACTTGAGTAATAAAAAAGAGAAATGTATGTATGTATGTCACTCTTTTTGTTCCACAGTTATCTTAAGAACCACTAATGAAATTTTGATGAGACTTAGTACATAGATGCTCTGGGCCAATGCGCAGATTTCATTAGATTTTGGTGAAAATTCATGCATATTAATTAACTAATTTGAATGATAATTAGCTAATTTTTAGCTGTTTCATGACTGTTCCACTGATATCTAAAGAACCAGTCATTGGATTTTGATGAAACTTGGTACATGGATGCTCTGAACTAATGTGCAGATTTGATTAGTTTTAGGTAAAAATCTGTCCATATTAATTAACTAATTTGTATAATAATAAGTCTAGTCTAGGACTATGCAGAGATCCATTGTTTTGGAGTAAATATTTATGCATATTAATCACCTTATGAATCATCACATTTCAATGAAACTTGGTACATAAATTCTCTAGCATATGCAGAGTCTAGATCAGTTTTGGGGTGAATATCTGTGCATTAATCACCTAATTTGCATAATTAGTTAACTTTCAGCTTTTACACTGATATATCAAGTATGAACCATCACATTTCAATGAAACTTTGGACATAGATCTTGTAGGACTATGCAGAGACCTGATTTAGTTTTGGGGTAAATAATTATCTAATTTACATAATTAATCAATTTTCAACTTTACTGATATCTCAAATACTAATCATCACATCTCAATAACATTTGGTACATAAATGCTCTAAGACAATATGCATACCTGATTAATTTGGTGTTAAAATCTGTACATATTAATTGACTAATTTGCATAATTAAATCAATTTTAAGCTTTTACACTGATATCTACAGTACTAATTATTTATTCAATTTCAATGAAACTTGGTACATAGATGCTCTAGGTCAATATGCAAACCTGATTAGTTTTGGGTTCAAATCTGTTATTTGCATAATTATTTATAATAATTTATAATTTGTTGGTTCTAATCACATTTCAATGAAACTTGGTACATAGATGGTCTGTTACATTGTCTCTTGTCTCCAATACTTTCATCACACGGGAATTCTTTCTAAGCTTTCTTTGATTAGTTTTTGCATTGCCACTATTTCAGTTTATTTTGTGACTCTATGGTGTATTTTGTTATAATGATAATAATAAAAATATTGTAAAACTGTATTACAAAGGTACTATATAGTAACAAGAATTATAGTGTGATTATAACTACCGGTATAATGTGATTTATACTTATCTAGAAATACTGTTTCTCTTCTGTAACCTTGTCAGTGTTGGTCACTCTGTAGTAAAGCATGTGATCATTATGAATATTGTCAACAATTATAATATTTGAACAATATTTTCCAGGCATGCTATATTCTAATTTGCTATAGTATTTCTGGTGACAAACCAGATTATAAAGGAGATCCTTTACCATATGATTCAGTATTGCTGGCGGGCCCAGATGTACCAGTCTTTTACAAGAAAGAATGTCTAACCCTGGGCACATTATTAAAGAAATTTTCATTTCCACATAAGATGCATTATTCTGATTTACCAAGTGCTGCTGCAGTTTCTGGCTTTAAGCCAGCACTCGATGGACAATTCAAGAATTTGCTGATCGTAAAGTGTCCCTTTTTTCACCCAGAATGTTGTATTTATGGAGAAATGATATTCACTGAACAGGGGAATGCAAAACTTAGATATTGTGATTCAATGGGACCAAATATAGGCAATTAATTTGGACCAGTGCTGCCTAGGTAGCTTGCCATTTTGAGGGTCTCAACAGAGGCAGCAGTCAACAATAATGCCAGAACCAATGATACTAGGCATAGATGTCCCAATATAATATGTGTTCTAAATATGGTAAACTGAAGCCAGCTACACACGAACAGTCATCTCATTCACAGGGTCAGAATGCCCAACAATGACAGTCTGGTCTAGGGGATTGCAGGAACAATCAGTGGTGCCTGACTTTTCTGTGTTATTCTCCCATATTTTTGGTGAACAATAAAGACAAATAGATGCCCCCAATTATAGACCCAAGCCAACTGAATCAGAATATTCCCTCAGAGCATTTCATGGTGGTGACCCCAGCAGAGGTACACTGCTGTGTACATCAGGGGCCGAGATCAGGGGATTTCCTGATATCACTCAATCTCATACATTTGCTTCAAGCAGTGAGTGTAGTCCAAACGAGAAACGTGGCAAGATGGCGGATACCAGTGTGGACAAAGACAACACAAAGGCAAGTTCGATGACACTAGAGTCGCTTTTCACGAAGCTTTCGGAAAAAAATCGATGTGATATATCTAAAAGTATTACAAACATTGATGAAATAGTCACGGGTCAAGGCGACAGAATAGAAAAATTAGAGACGAATGCAGTTAATCTTAGAGAAGAGAATGATGCGTTGAAAATTGAAATAAATTATTATATAAATATTCCAGAAAGTATTGTTTGGAATTCCACGGTGTTTTTTTAGAAGATAGCAGTAATCTTTACATTATGAAAAAGATAATAAGTATTTGTGAATCAATTGGAGTAGAAATTTTAGAACGTGATATTGACACCTGTCATCCGATTTCACGCAAAAACCAACGGATTCCAGTTGTTATTGTGAAATTTAAATCGTGTTACCTAGCCAGCTGTGTGTATGCAAAGAGAACACACCTGAGGCGAAAATCATCAGAAGATTTGGGGATTAGTTGTCAATCAAAGTTAATCTATATTAATGGAAGTTTAACTAAGTATAACGCCAGTATCTTTCGCAATACCAGATGATTTTTTAAAACAAGAAAATGGTACACCGCTTGGACAAATCTCGGAACAACTTATGTAAAGAAGACAGCCGTGTCCAAACATTCTCAATGTTGAACACTGCAAAATAATAGTTTTCTCCAGTTTAGCTACTGAAGTTAAATGTTCTGTCTTTATACATATTTGTTGGTTGTGAAAACTATGGCGCAGATTTGTTGTATTTTATTAGTGTACGTGTTTATTTTTGTCCATTTATTAACACCGACAATTGTTCAGAGTGTCCATTGTTTTCGTTATGTCATTACATTTAAATACATAATTAGGATCCAAAGAAAATGACGTGCTATTGTCAAAATACTTGTAGTTGAGATTTTTCAGTATTACAATATGGTATGTCATCAGGTAATTCCCAAACTGGAAATATATCATGGCTAGTTATAAAATATGTAGCATGAATGTACGATGTCTCATGGATACTAAAACACGAAAAGATGTATTTAATTGGTTATGTGATAAGAACTGTGATATTTATTGTTTGCAAGAAACCCATAGCTCAGAGGGAGTAGTAACCAGATGGCAATGTGAGTGGTCGGGGGTGTCTTTCTTTACTGCATACTCCAGTAACAGTGTGGGAGTGGCAGTTTTATTCAGGCTAAATTTTGAATATACTGTGAATAAAACATTAACAGATCCACGTGGTCGTTACATCATTATTGACTTGACCATTCAAGAAAATCGTATATGCCTAGTAAATCTGTATGCACCGAATGATGACACACCCGGCTTTTTTGACAATGTGACCTCGTACTTAGATGACTTTTCTATACCAACATGTATATTTTGGAGTGATTGGAATGTGGTACACAAAAAGACTCGATGGGTTATTCAATCAATAACAACTCATTAGCAAAAGAAAAGTTGATAAAATAGCAGACGAATATTTTTTGGGGATATTTGGAGAGGACTGCACCCAAATGATAGAGCATTTGCATGGAGAAAAAAGAATCCGCCTAAACAAAGTAGACTAGATAATTTTCTTACCACATCCGACATTGCATCTAATAGTACAAATGCAGATATAAAACCAGGCTACAAGACTGATCATAGTTTAATTTCGGTTACTATTAACCAGAATGGGGAAAAACGAGGAAAGGGTTTTCCGGAAATTTAATGTAGACCTTCTTAGGGATAAAGAATACATTAATATTGTCAAAAAAAAAAAAACAATAGAGGAAACGGAAAATGATTATAAGGTGGATAACAGTCCAATTGATGAAAGTTCCAGATACGGAGAAGTTTCCTATTTCCAGCCAGTTATTTTTCGAGGTTATATAATAAATATTAGAGGCAAAACTATAATGTATTCCAGTCATAGGTAACGAGAAAATAATAAAAAACAATATTTATTGGAACAGGAAATTCACCATAAATTACAACAAATTAATAAAAACATTCAAAAGGAACAACTGATAGAACTGGAAAATAAACAGTCCGAACTGGAACAAATGCGCTCTCAAGTGTTGAAGGGCGCTATGATAAGGTCAAAGGTAAATGACTCTCTTTATGGGGAGAAACCGTCTAAATATTTTTGTGCACTGGAAAAAAGACAGTATGTAAATAAAACGATTGGAAAACTGGTTAAAGAAGATGGTTCAGAAATTTTAGATCAAGGAAATATTTTTAAAGAAATGAAACAATTTTACAAAAACTTATATAAATCTGCCAAACAAACGGTCGGGGATATTTCTGATCGAATTTTTTTTCATTTCTAAAAACAAATATACCAAACTTATCAACGGAGGAAAGACATTTGTTTGAGGGAAAGCTTACAATACAAGAATGTGCCAATGCTTTAACAATATGGTCAATGGAAAAACACCTGGTTCAGACGGTTTCCCCGGTGAATTTTACAAATTCTTTTGGAGAGATATTTCACCTTACCTTTTAATGAGTCTAAATGAATCTTATGAAAAGGAAGAATTAAGTACAACACAGAAACGGGCCATTATAACTTGTCTGCCTAAACCAAACACGAACAGATTCTTTTTGAAAAACTGGCATCGGATAACTTTATTGAACACTGATTATAAGA